CCAGTCCGTGGGCTTTCTATTGATCTTTCTAGCTATGTCCTTTGCCATGCAGTAGCTCTGTAGTTTCATGTAATCCTATTTGGCCTGGATAAATTTCTAACAGCCTGGAGTTGTGCTCTCCATCTCTACCCACAGATCCAGGATTCCTGGGGGCAGGGCCTTCCAGGATGGTGGGCCACCCAGCCCCCATCACAGCCCTTGGGTGCTAGATCCAAGGCTTCCTTCCTTTCTAGATCTGGCCAATATAAGCCATCTGCAAGAACCAGATACTGAAGCCTTGGGCTTTGTCCCACCTTCCAAAGCGGCTCAGGCCTCATATCCACACTAGAGCTGACTGGACAGCAACCTCATTGAGTCCAATCTACACTAATAAGCCCAATGCAGGCCAACTCCCCCAACACACTCAACATACAACAAACACACTAAAGCCCAGTTCTGGGCCAATTTACACTCTATCTTCTTACCCAGAGTGTGTTCATCTTCACATAGGCTCTCACTCCAACTGTGGATGTCCTGTCACCCTTGAAATCCCATCATGAAAATCACAAACCTACTGCCCCGATAGCCAGACTAACACACCACAATTACCAGAAACCTAGAGTGATGAGAGAGGTCTGACTGTGAACCAAGGTCTCTACCTGGTAAAGCCTGCCAATCCCCACATTCCTTTACAGTTGAATCACAGGCAAGTTTTATCCTCTGGAACTATATATAGATTTTATATCTTAATCTCCTAATCTGATAGTTGAAAAGGTTTAAAAATGGGCTTTTTGGGGCTGGAGTGCAGTGTGGTGGTAGAGCACTTGGCTAACAGGCTCAAAGCCCTGAGGTGAGTAAAGGGCAGGAGATTATGATTCACTAGCAGTCATCAATGTCTGCCCGCCTTGCTCCAGCACGGTGGCCAATGCCTCTAACGTGGGGGCAGGGAGGCAGTAACTCTGGTTTTGAATCCTGATGCACAGTAGCTGTGGGCCCTGGGCCTAGCTGAGGCCATTTCCTTACTCTTTTATTCAGAAATTTAGAGAATGGGAGTGGGGTGAGGAGAACCATTGATAGCTGCAGCCAGGTGCTACACACCTGTGGTCATACCTGTGGTCCTAGTAGTTCAGGAGGTTGATATCTGAGGATCTGAGTTCAAAGTCAGCCCAGGCAGAAAAGTCCATGAGACTCTTATCTCTAAATAACAAGCAAAAAACCCCCCAGAAATGGAGGTGTGGGTCAAGTGATAGGGCACCAAGCTTGAGCAAAAAGCCAAGGGAGAGCATGAGGCTTTGAGTTCAAGCCCCACTATGGCATGCAAATAAATAAATAAATAAATAAACAAATGATAGCTGTGACACTCATCCTGCTACATGTGTTAGTCAACTGGTTTTAGAGTAGCTAGCCAAAATTAGTACTCAGTAAACACTTGTTGAATAAATATATGATAAGCAGAATATTGGCGGTAGCTAGGAGTCTCAGATTTGAGGTTGAAACAAGAGTCTCTTTGTCCTTGGGACAGTTATGTGGTTGGGAAAAATAACATGATCGTCTCCAAAGAGTCCCAAAGCACAAATGAGCTCATGTATACAACTGTGCTTGGCCTAGGGCCTAGCTTCAGGGAGGTGGATTGGTCAGGGATGAGGACTGTCATCTCAGATGTGGGTGTGTGGTTTAAACAAGCAGGCCAACCACAGGAGGGGCTGACAAGCTGGAGAACGCAGAGACGTGGGATCTTTGGGAAGCAATCTGGACAGGGAGTTTGGTCTCTTCAGGGGGCAGATGGGAGGCTGTGAGACCTGAGCAGCTGAAGAATGTTTGGATACCACCCAAGGTGCATACCCTATACTTGCCTTCCACTCTCCAAGTTTAGAGAGGAATGGGGTTGGCAGAGAAGGGTAGCAATAGAAAAAAGAGCACTTAGGGCTGTGAAGGTGGCTCAGTGGTAGAGCGCTTGCCTTGCATGCCTGAGGCCCTGCGTTCAATTCCTTAGCACTACATAAGCAAAAAGCTGGAAGTGGTACTGTGGCTCAAGTGGTAGAGCGCTAGCCTTGAGCTAAAGAGCTGAGGGACAGTGCCCAGGCCCAGAGTTCAGGCCCCACGAAAGGAAAGAGAAAAGATAGGTAAGTGAAAGCATTCTAGAGTGGTAGGTCACCAATTTTGTGTGAAAAAGCTAAGGAGGAGAATAAGGCTCTGAGTTCAAGTCCCAGAACCAGCACAAAAAAAAAGAAGAAGGAAGGAAGTTGGCCTTAGGTTTTAATAACTATTTAAACTGACAAGTTTTCTTTTAAATCCACAGGCCCATTCCTGGTCCAGATCCTAGAAAGTAATTTTATGGAGGGCTGAACTCAGCTCCTGCCCACTTAGCCCAAGAAATCCTAGCCACTGCAGATGGATAGAGGGCAGGAAGGGGTAGAGACAGTCTCAGCTACAAGGCAGGAGAAGCCATTTCCTGAATGTCTATTCCTGGACTCTCATCCCAACCTGAACAGGTTTCCAGTTACAGGTTGCATGGAAAAGGAAGTAGGTAAGTCTTCTCCCAGGCTAGCAGTATGGGCCAAGACATTGATCAGTTATCCTGGGGCCTGGAAGTGAGGTCAGCTCTGCCACAGAGAACTTGAAAGCTACACTCTGGGCCTCCCTAACTGTCTTTATGGCATTCTTAGAGCTCAGAAGGGCAATGAACCTGGAAGGTCCCATTCGACTGACACTCAAATCCCTAAAGAGCAAGAGCTATTCAATGTACTCATACAACTTAGTGTTTCTCACTGCCAGGCAGGCACCGCTGCCTCTGCTTTATGAAGATACCATGTCTGAAGCCCTAGGCAAAGTATCCAGATGAAGAAATATATAAGAAATCTGAGGACTCTGCTGCACCTAACTCCAAAGCCAGGCTCTCCTCCATCAAACATCACCAGCCTTCACGGCACCCAGTGCTCAGGTGTGCGGATTTGGACTTTGGTCAAGAACTTTCACACTCTCACTTTTTAACCTGCCTCAAGGCCCTGCCCAGTACACAGGTCTCTAAGTCCTAGAAAGGAAGAGCCCGTCTAAGGAGGAAAGGAGATAGAAATATATTTGATTTCTCCTTTCTGCAAAAGGAATATCTGTACAGGTGACCTGACTGGGTCCTGGAGACCTCAACAGGTTTGGGGCAGGCTGTTCAACCTTCAGGTGACCAGGTGGCCCAGCCTAAGTTTCTCACTGCTGGCTCTGAGGCTAATATAACCATATCTTCATCCCAGATTGCCTGGCTGGGGCGTATGTACCATTCAAAGAGCTTCCCCAAGAAGCCTTCCCCTTCCCCCATCTCTGCCCAGTGACACCATCTACCCTACTATGCCTATTCTGACATCCATCTATCACACACTAATTAGGCATTTGTAGCCACTGGTGACAGAGATGAATAAAACAGTCTGGGACCTCCAGATGCTTCTAGCTGATTGGGTCAATTGCTAGCAGGACATAGCCATGTACATTTTAAGAGAACTTGTCAGCAAGTTGGGTGCTGGTGGTTTGCACCTCTAATCCTAGCTACTCAGGAGGTTGAGATCTGAGGATTTCAGTTTGAAGCATACAAATCCAAGAAACTCTTTTTTTTTGGGGGGGGGGGTCCGGTCGTGGGGCCTGAACTCTGGGCCTGGGCGCTGTCCCTCAGCTCTTCAGCTTAAGGCTAGCACTCTACCACTTGAGCCACAGCGCCACTTCCGGCTTTTTTCTTATGTGGTGCTGGGGAATCGAACCCAGGGCCTTCAGCATGCAAGGCAAGTGCTCTACCACTGAGCCACCTTCCCAGCCCCCCAAGAAACTCTTATTTCCAATTAGCCAGCAAAAAGCTGGAAGTGGTGGCATGGCTCAGGTGGTAGAGTGTCACCTTTGACTCAGCAAGAGCATGCAGGCCTGAGTTCAAGTCCTAGTATTGGAGAGGGGGAAGAAGAGGGAGAGAGGCAAGGAGGCAGGGGGGCCTTGAATGTGATTGAGGGGGACACCCCGGTGAGACCCTTGGGTCTTGTGGGCATTTTAATTCCATCTTCTGAGGATAATGACGACCTGTCTCTCCTAATAGTAGGCTCATCTACGGTGTCCAAGTCAGAAGACTGGGTTGGAATTCTACTTCTGCAACTTGCTACTGGCGACTTGCAAAATACCCATGCTTTCTGGGGCTCAGCACCTCCATCTGGAACAAGAGGCAATAATGCTGCCTTCCTGCTGTGAGGATTAGCCATAATGTAGTGCACCCAGCCCTTAGCAAGGGGCGTGGCACACATAAATTCGCAATAAGTATTTGCTATTAATTACATCATGGCTGCACTCCGAAGGGCAGAAATACCTCCCTGGGGGGCATTTACTTAACACCTGCCCCTTCTGCAGGAGATATACTGGTGACCTCCGACCCTGGGAGGCCTCTCGGTTCCCCAGGTCACATCTCCAACAAAACCTTCCCCCTGCCCCCCCCCACTCCCAACCTCCTCCACCCATCGCGAACCGTGCCTCGGGACATCCAAAACGCCGAATGCAACCCTCCCTTTCATCTAACCAGGGACCAAAGTTCTAACCACACTTTTCCGGGCAGACGGCTCCCCAATTTCTGGGAAACGGGCAGGAGGGGGAACTTTACAGACTAGGACTCCGAGTGCAGAGGCGAGTCCCGGCAGCCCGGCCTCCGAGGTACAAGGTCGGCGCCCCCGCCGCGGCGCGGGAGGCGTGGGGCGGAAGGTCCCGCCCGCGGCCGCCCGCTCAGCCCGGGGACCGGCTGGGGAGGCGCGGGGTGCGCGGGACTGCCGCCAGCCGCGTCCACAGCTGCACCCCAGGGTCCGGACCCCTGTCTCCGCCCCCCGCACCCCGCCCGGCCCTGCACACGGGGTGGGGCACCAGGACCCAGCTCCTCTGCCACCCGGCGCACGGTTCTAGGGGACTGAGCTCGCCGGACGGGTAGTGAACACTCTAGGTGCAGCCGGGCGGGAGCCCCGGGGACCCGAGGCAGCCCACTGCCCCGCGGGGCCCGGGGACGAGTCACTCACCTCAGCGGCCCGCCGCTCCGAGGTGCGACGCTGGCTGCAGGTTCCCCCCACCCTCCCCGGCCCCGCCCCGGAGGCGGTGGCTCGGCTCCAGGCTCCGCCCCGCACGCGCCCCGCCCACCGCCAGGCTCCGCCTCCCGTCGTGACCCAATCCCCACCCACCGCCTCGCTCCGCCCCGGCCGCGCCCACCGGCTAGCTCCGCCCCCTGCCCAGCCCCGCGCTGGCAGGCCTGCCAGGGAGGTGGCCACCAGCCAACCCGCCGCCACCGCTTATCCGACTCGGCCAACTTACCCCAGGCTGCAATCGCCAAGCTGCAGGGTCCTGGGTCTCTGCCCCGCCCTGCATCTGAGGAAGCCACCAACGACTCTCCTCCCTCCGCTCCTACTGGAAGTTCAGGACTAGCTAGGGGATTTGCACAAAGTGAGCAAGAACTCCTGACAGTCTGTTAACGGGGCAACTGGGTATGGAGGACAGAGTGACTTCTGACACCTCCTTCTCAACTCCTTTATAATCGAGGTCATAATGGCTGGTCCACTGGTAGGTTAAGGCTGTAGAAGAGGTATACCAAAGCCAAGATGCAGGGAATACAGAATAAAGGAGGGAGGGGGGTCTTTACCTCCACCTAATGGAAGTGTGGGACAGAGGGGCCTCTCCTTTTTCTGCCAGTTTCATCCAGGCCTGTGTGGTCCTATGGCATGCCTATCCCTTGTCTCTTAGGGCAGATCTTTGACTGTTTCTTGGAGTCTGCAGTTTCAAGGCCTGGGCCTTGTGGTTACCATACCATCCTGACAAAGTGTCCCTACCCTGGGACTGTCAGGGTTTCATAAGCAGGGAGCTGGGACTCAGGATGTCACTGGATATAGTCACCACCTGCTTCTGACAACTACTCCCCTCCCCAAACAAGTGAGGAAATAGAGGTACTAGTAAGGGGGACACCAACTTCACCCAGCTTCCGAGAAATTGAGTGGGGATTTCCTAGCCCCTTCAACTCTTTCTAGAATATCCCATCAGCCCCTGATAAATGGCTCCAAATTACTCTTTTAAAAATTTGTTTTAGGTGAGGTCTTCCTATGGTGCGTAGACTGGCCTTAAACTCCCTGCCTCAGTCTCCTGAGTGCTGATTTTGCAGACATACATCTAGTTTCAAGTCACTCTTAAGAAGTTGAAGAGGGCCAGTGTAGTGAACATATCTAATTCCAGCTACTCTAGAGCTGGAGAATCATAAGTTCAAGGCCAGACTGGGCAAAGGTAATGAGGAGACACTCTCAAAAACAACAAGGGCTGGGAGCATAGCTCAATTGGCATAGCACTTGCCTAGCATGAACCAAGCCCTAGGTCTAATCCACAATACAAAAAAAAAAATTCAGAGAAGACTTGCTTCTAGGAATTCCAACTGTATCAGGGAGATAAGGTCTAGAAGGTCAGAGGTAGGACATGGCTTCAGGAATGGGCCTACAAAATGAGATGGCTAGGGAGTCAGAGTTCTGCCCTCACACAACCTGTGAGACTTCTTCCTATGAGAGCCTTACCTACCACAGGCTTCCTCCTCTTGTCACATACTCTTGTCCCAGCTCTCTACCCTGCCAAGTCCCAGGTTCCCTCTGGTCTCCTTCAAGGAGCCTCCTGCCCCACCTTGACCAGCGCCAACACTCTCTGCACTCTAAAGGCAGCTCTTAAGTCCTTTATCCATTCAGGTCAATGCTCCCCAGGGCTGGGTCTGAGCACAGTAGCTGGTCTTTAAATGTCTGTTGGCCTGATGGAGATCTCTTATCATCCTACTTACAACTCCAGTGAGTGGTACATGCAGCTAGAGCTTGGGAAATGGAAGTCCTGGTGGAGGAGGGGAAATAATGTTGGAAGGCTTCTTGGATTCACCTAATGTCCCACGATCATGGTGGATTTCTTTGTAGGGCTCCCCATATGTGGGAGTTGTCTGAAGGAGGCTAGATTGACAGAAATGACTATCATAGCCAGGAATGGGATCATATGCCTAGCTATTAAGGAAGCTGAGATGTAAGGATTACAGTTCAAAGCCAGCCTGGGAATGGAGGTTGGCGAGATTTTATCTCTAATTAACCACCAGAAAGCCAGGTGTGAAGCTGTGGCTCAAGTGGCAGTATGCTAGCCTTGAGTGAAAATGCTAGTGGACAGCATCCAGGTCCTGAGTTCAAGCCTCAGTACTGACATAGAAAAAAAGAAAGACAGGAAGGAAGGAAAAATTAGTAAATATAAAAATAAAACAGAGAAGACTGTCTTAAAGGGAACATGAACCCTTTAAGGGAAATGGAGAAGCCTGAAGGGCTTAGGGAGATAGGCCAACAAATCTCTGCTGGGACACATTCCTTAATGGACATAGCAGCTCCACATCATTTGTTTTTCTACTTGTCCTATCTACCTCTCCCTTGACTGGGTATGCCTGGAGTGTGAGCTGGCACAGGATCTGGAGTGGGTGAGTACTCAACAAATGTCTCCTAAAAGTTTGTAGGCCTGACTCCCCAGAGCAGATGAGACTTTTTGCTCCAGGTTTGCTGAGCACCTTCTGTAGACCAGATGTTGAGATCTTAAGCCAGTCCAGGGACAGCAATTAGAACTGCCCTTGCAATGTATTTACTGGATTCTGTTACCCCTGGACTCCAAACCCTGAGCTGACTTCCCAGATTTCTTAGCAGAAGCCAAGTCCTTGGAATGGCCACACAGTAAGGTCAGACATGATTAACTCTCTACCTCATCCTCCCCTCTCTGCTCATACTCTATTCTGCCCACTGGCCTTCTTTCCTTCCCTTGGATTGATGGGGCAGGATACCTAAACAGGCCTTCAACAGGGCCATTCCTTTGCTGTCCTCTTTGCTTAGACCCTGGGGTCCTATCCATCCTCCTTCAAGCTTTTGTCAAAATATTATTGTCTAGCTGAGTGTTGGTGGCTCACACCTGTAATCCTAGCTACTCAGAAAGTCTGAATAGCTAGGATCTGAGGGTCGTGGTATGAAGCCAGTCCAGGCAGGAAAATCCCTGAGAATCTTATCTCCAATGAACTACTAAAAAAGCCAAAAGTAGAGCTGTGGCTCAAGTGGTAGAGTGCTAGCCTTGAGCAAAAGAAACTCAAGGACAGTACCCAGTCCTTGAGTTCAAACCCCAGGACTAGCACACACACAAAACATCACTGTCAAGAGACAAATCCTTATCATTCCCTCACTCCTGGCCCTGCTCACTTTTGTTTTCTTCTACATCATTCTGTGTTGTTTAATAACTCTCCCCTTAAGAAACATGAGCTCCTTTAGGGTGACAGTATCTGTTTTACCCACTCTGGTATTTTTGTGTTTAATGCAGTGTATGGCCATAGTAGGTACTCAGAAAATATTTGCTGAATGAACACATTCCCATTCTCACCCTCTTCAGTATCTCTGAGGAACTTCTGCGAGGGTTCCTGGTCACTCTGCTCTCCTCCAGTGGGTACCTACTGCTGTGGGCCACATGCATAAATCATGTATACATTTATTGCGCCTACAGTTTCTGAGTATCTGTATGTGGAGTAGTAGTGATTTTCCTTGAGGACAAGGCTAGCTAGCCCCTTAGCTAAAAGGACAAGACTATCCAGGTCAAGAAACTGGAGACATTGTCTAGTTAGACCAAGGAAGAATGGAATATTGTTCAGGTTCAGCTTCTTGGAGCAATCCCACATTTATAAAAGGCTGGGACAAAGCACATCGATTTCACAAAATAAATACCTAATTGACTGTTAAAAAGAGATGGCTGCAGGAAGCCTTGGGTCCAGATGCTCTCTAACAGCCCTGGCCAGGAGCCAGGCCACCTGGATCACATCCTATTCTGGCCAGACAGGGTAAGCTGTGGCTCAGGAAAGGTATTTCTGCTCAGGGATGCCACAAGAGGAACCTAAGCTTTTAGGGTACAGGAAGCTATTCCCTTCTGTAGGGGAAAGAGGGGCTACACTTAGGGGACAGAAGATCCTGAGAAATGAGGAATCATTGTTATCCTGATGATGACAGATGGGTAAGGCCATGTGGGCCACACCCAGAGCTAAAGGGAATGGTCCAGGTGGAGGCTGGGTGTGCCTTCCACGGGGAGTTATCGTGATGTGCTATCCTATACTGTACATATTGTATATTGTGTGACATTGTAACATGTGGTTTATAAGGTACTAGGAATACCCCCACCACCACCAAAAAAAAATCTCCCTGCACTGGAGTTTTGTACCCTGCTGTGGTATAAGGTTGCCTCTTTCCAGCTCTCTATTAAAATTTGAGCTCTCCAGAGAGGAAAAGCAATCTGAGCTCAGAATAATAAAGATTGTGTGTCCACAGGGAGATTAACTGTGGCAGCTAACAGTGTGGAGAAGGTTCTGTAGGAAAGTAAGGGGGGGGATGGGAGAAGATGGAGGGGAGGGGAGAAGGACTGCCCATTTTTCTAAGGGAGCTTCCTGATATAAACAAGGTACTTAATAACTTGACTGTGGCCTGGCACTGGTGGCTCATGCCTGTAATCTTAGCTACTCAGGAGGCTGAGATCTGAGGATCATGGTTCAAAGCCAGCCCGGGCAACAAAGTCTGTGAGACTCTTATCTCCAATTAATCACCAGAAAACTGGAAGTGGCTCTATGGCTCAAGTGGTAGAGTGCTAGCCTTGAGCTAAAGAGCTTAGGGACAGTGCTCAGGCCCAGAGTTCAAGCCCCACGACTGACAAAAACAAAATAAAATGAAACACAAAACTTGTATGTGTAATTAAAGGTCTTAGATTTTCACTGCAACAAGGGAAGGTGTGTGAGCCATACTGGCACTGTGTAGACACAGTATCTGTATCTGTGTAGACACAGCATTGACTTTCTTGTTAGGGACCGTTAGGGAGAGACTCCTAGGTACTTATAGAAGGCTGGGCCTCAGACCCTTGAAGTTTCCAGCAGGATGCAATGATGCCTAGTGGGGGGTTTCAGAATTGCACAGAGACCCCATGGGAAAGATTGAAATGGCACCTAGACACTGCTGGCTCACAGTTTGTAATTCTAACTACTCCAGAGGCTGAGATCTGGAAGCTC